TGACTGCTTTTATAACTGGAAATTTGTACATCTATTCCCTTCCCCTTTTTTACCCACCCTAACCCCCTCCCTATAATCTTTGTTTTATAGAAAATGATTTTGTAAACAACATATCTGGAAAATAGGTCAATTTTTCAAGAACTCAGAACAGTAATCAGAGAAAATGCCATGGCTTGGGGAAATGGTTCCTATCTTTTATGTCACTATGAAAGTTGTTATCTTCTTGAAATAGAAGCTTTTGTCTTAGTATCTACCAACCTACTTCAGTGCTTAGCATAGTGCCTGGGAGTGCTAAAGATAGAGGACTTGTCATGTTACTTTCTGTAGTCTCAGGGTTTAATATAGTGTCTAGAACACTGTATGCTTATTATGTACATTAACACATTTAATCCTCACAACAGTCCTCTAAAGCAATGTTATTATTCTTAATAGATGAGGAGACTGAGGCACAGAAACATCAAGTCAATTGCCCAAAATTACCAAGCTAGTTAAGTGGTAGAGCTGGAATTTGAACCCACGCAGCCTAGCTATAGCCCTAGACCAGGGGTGGGCAAACTTTTTGACTCGAGGGCCACAATGGGTTCTTAAACTGGACCGGAGGGCCGGAACAAAAGCATGGATGGAGTGTTTGTGTGAACTAATATAAATTCAAAGTAAACATCATTACATAAAAGGGTACGGGTTTTTTTTTTTTTTTTTTAGTTTTATCCATTTCAAACGGGCCGTATCCAGCCCGCGGGCCGTAGTTTGCCCACGGCTGGACTAGTCCCTCCCGCTCTCAGGCCTCACTTTCCTCACCTGTGAAACCTGGATCCGGCCCGCGGGCTGTAGTTTGCCCACGGCTGCCCTAGACCCTTACTTTCTAACACAAGAAAGTGCTTAATTAGATATTTGTTGAATGAATATAATTGCAAGAAAATGTGAATTATAATAATGTAAAAGAAGAAATCCTTTATACATGTATACTTTATAAAATAGCCATCCTCCCCAAAACTAGATAAAAGTTTACTCTTTTGTAAACTTCATGCACTTTACTAGTATGCCCAACACATTAGAATTTCAAAAGTTAACCCACACCACATATTAAGGGTACCTGCTGCTCAAAGCAACTTGGGGTGACCCATTTTGCTGTTTCAAGAACCCCTTTTGTCATGTCAATAATCACCTCCTACAGTGTCCAATTTATACAATTAGTTGTTTGCCACATACTGGCTTTTCTAAAGCAGGAAGGGTTGGAAAATATCCTTTAGTTGACCCTGTTCCACTCACCTATAACCTGCCCCTCCACCTCACCCCACACCTGTAACCATAGGCTCAAAAGAAAGTTGGTGCCCTCCTCTGGGGATATGGGGCAGTATCAAACTTTGGGCCCACCAGAGGGCATTTCCAGGAAATAATCATATTAGCTTCTTTAATTCTAGTGGTAAGAATGGGGTTGCTTTTGGGATCTTTTTCTGAATATAGGAAAGCTGACCTACTCAATCAGTTAAGTCTACTGAAGCCCTGTCAGGTGAAGGGATGGAATAAAAATTCAGCTGAACTTTAGATGAATGCTGACCAGATATTTCCTTTGGTCAGATACACTTATGTATACTTTTAAATCATAGGCTATTAATGACAAATTTTACCATTTACTTAGCATTATCTATGTGTTGGGTACTTTATATACATTATATCTTTTAAATCTCACCATAACCTTGGAAAGTAAAGAATATCCCCAATTTACAGTTAAGAAAGCTGAGAAGCAGAGAGGTTAAGCAACAACCAATAACAAGCAGAACCAGGAATTCAAACTCAAATCACACTCTTTCCAGTGTAATATGTTGTTTCTTTTTACTTCTTTTGATCCTATGTCAAAATCGCATTACTAAGAGATGGCAGAAAAATGTTCTTGACAGATGTAATCCCAATCCAATGCCACTGAAACATCAAAGAAAACTGTACCCAAAACTCTTATATGGACCCTTTGATAGTTGTCCTGACAACTTGTTCTTTTATTTAGTTATGTTGACTAGAAAAATAGGAAGTTTAAATTGGTAACAGACGGAGGTCAAGGGCCAAAGAGAATGTTGGGGCAGCAGAGAAGGGGGTAAGAGAGGAGGGAGGAGCAGTGTAGACCAAGGGGACAGAGAGGTTTCTTGGCTGCCTCTCTGCAGCTCATGAGGCCAGAACTAGCACATCAGAGAAAGCCAAACTTTCTGGTGAACACAACTTGCATCAAATGTAGTAACAATTAACCTGTGTCTAGAATTTACTTTGTGCCGGGCACTCCTTTAAATGCCTTATGTGTATTAGCTAATTTAATCCTTACAAAAATACTGAGGTAAGTCTTTTTATTAATCCCATTTACATGTTAGAAAATTGAAGCAGAGAAAGGCTATGGTTTCCATTTTACAAATGCGAAAACTGAGGCACAGAGATGAATAACTTGCCCGAGATCAATCTAATAAATGGTGGAGCTGAATTTAAACAGGATTCTGGCTTCAGAGCCGTGTTCTTACCCATTATGATATATTACCCCTCCCTATATGTCGTAAGGATAAATATTGCTTCAGAAAACGTTTATTTCAAGTACATATGTGTTAGTGTGTGTGCTTATGTTTGTATTGGGTAGCAATGTAAAATGTATTTATTGCTGTGAGCCACAGACAAAAATTTCTAAAAGCTACTGCTCTAGCATTGGTATTGCTGAATGATACATCTTCAACCTTACTAGAGATAATGCAGATTGCTCTGTAAAGTGATTGTATCAAGTCACTTCCCCAACAGCAGTGTAAGAGAGTTACGTGTGTTCTATATCTTCACCTGAACTTAATAGCATCACCCTTTTAATATGCTGCCAACTCAATGGGTGTGGAATTGTATCTCATGTGATTTTAAATTGCATTTTCCTGGTTCCCATTACATTGTTTTGTATGTTCTTGCCAATCAGGTTTTGCCTACTGTGAATCATCTGTTTGGATCCTTAACTTGTATATTATTGTATGCAATCCAAATGCAGGCAGTATTCTCACAACTTTCTAAAGCAGTGGTTCTCAACCTTGGCTGCACATTAGAATCACCTGGGAATCTTTTTAAAATCCTGATTTCTGGGCCTCATCCTCCGGAAATTCTGTTTCTTTGTTATGGGGTGGGGCCACAACATTAGTAACAAAGAAACAGAATTTCCGGAGGATGAGGCCCAGAAATCAGGATTTTAAAAAGATTCCCAGGTGATTCTAATGTGCAGCCAAGGTTGAGAACCACTGTTCTAAAGGAACTAACAATTCAGATGAAATAACTCACACTAGGGTCACCCAGCTAATGGTTGGTTTTGGGGGGTTTTTTGTGGGGTTTTTTTTTATTATTATTGGGATTTGAGTCCAGATCTAAAAGAACCGTCAGCCCAGGCCTTTTGTTTTGTAAAGCATGTGTACATGCCAGGGGCCAATGCCACGTTAGAAAAAATAAGGAAATGGAACAAATAATTTTGAGCATGTAGCCAACGTGTTGTGTGATATCCATCCTGTGTCTAATGATTTGTGCAATGAACATAGATTATTTCTTTGTATCCTCATAGCAACGTGTGAGATAAAACATGTTATCTCCATTTTATAGGTGAGGAGAGTGTGGCTCAGGGAAATGAAGAGATTTGCTTTGGAGAAGTTAAATTACAGCTAATAAGAGACAATCACAATTCAAAGAGGGGGTAGAGAAGAGGGAGAAGAGGTGCAGACATGGAGGACAGAGAGGCTTCTTGGCTGCCTCTCCACAGCTCATGAGGCCAGAACTAGCACATCGTGGGAGCGCAGTGTGATTACAACGTCCATGCCTGTTTCACCATAATGATGCCCATCCATAGATATTTTGGGTATGAGGTAAAGGCCTCCTACCAATCAGGCCTGCTGCATCATCTCCTAGAGCCATGGCTTGACTTCCTGCCCCACCTTCTCCTTAGAACCCAACAAACTGCTTCTCCTTGGACAGAACCAGAACTCAACCTATCATTTTTCTGCAGAATCCTGGTCTGGGCAGCCTTAACTAAACTGACCCAGTCCTGCTGCTTCCCATTAACCATCCAAGCTAGGTAAGCGCCCAGCCAACTTCCACAGATTTATCTTCCATTGCCCCAGCCTTCTCTGATGAAGCCCATTCAGGATCTCAACACCTTCCATGATAAACCAGAAAATTCTAAGTCAGGGAACTCAAACAGGGCTGCACATTAAAATCAGCTGCAGAACTTTAAAAAATTGTGATGCTCTGGTAACACCCCAGATCCACTACATCAGAACCTCTGGAGATGGTACCCAGGCATCCCTGATAGTTAAAGCTCCCCGGGTGATTCTAATGTACAGCCAAGATTGAGAACCACTGTTAAGGCATCTTCAAGCTCTACCAGCCACACTCACACAGTGGTTTCCACATTTTACTGTTACCAGGAATTTCTTGGAACATTTGTTAAGATTCAGACTTCTGGGGACCCAGAAGTCTGCATTCTTACCAGTCACAGAAGATAGTTTCACTACAAGTCATCAGCATATCACATTTTGGGAAATGCTGCACTAGAGACAGTACTGCATGGAAGTAGGGTGGTAGCAGGAGGCCTCTGGCCCTTTAAGGACTGATTAAGAGACTTCCTTTAAAGCTGTGAAGCAGAACAAGCTAGTGCTGCTTTTTTTCATCCTAGTGGATAAGGTAAGGGAGCAGGTCCTGGAATGGACTTCTTTTAAATCACCTCAGCCTCTGAATAAGGGCTATCTAGTTACCAGCCCTGGAGAGCAGGAGGGGCATGCTGCCTTGTCCCACCTGCTGTTTTTATTAGTTTTGATGCAAAGAGGCTAAGTTAGGAGACCTCATTTGGTCCAGAAGATCCTCTCAAAAGAAGCAACATAGGACCTACCTGCCTTCATTTTTTTCTTGCCCTCTCCTTTGTGCTTGTGGAGCCAGGATGCAGTTACCTCTGTGACAGGAAAGAGACAGAGTGATATCCTTTGGGCTTGGGCTGGAATATGTTGTTGAACACCAAGCCTTTCAAGATGGTCCTCCTCAGCAGCTTTAGAATTCTTCTTCTCTGGGGACTGGTGCTTTTTACAGAACACAGAGTCCAAATGGGAACGGTAGGGCAGCACTCTACTGGCCCTCTGGCTGAAGCCCCTACCTTGCCCCTGATTCAGGAGCTGCTAGAAAAAGCCCCTGGCAAGCAGCAGAGGAAGCCACAGGTCCTAGGGCATCCCATGCAGTACATGCTGGAGTTGTACCAGCGCTCAGCTGATGTGCATGGGCACCCTAGGGAGAACCGCACGATTGGGGCCACCATGGTGAGGCTGGTGAGGCCCTTGGCCAATGTAGCAAGGCCCCTCAGAGGTGAGTTATAATTCCATACTATCCTGGAGGGAGAGAAATCTTGGGGAAGAGTGTAAAGGATCTGTGAGTTTACTGTCAGGTTTCATTGCCTGGTAGGAGGTTGTTTTCTCAGGATTGGTTTTCAAAGAATGGCAAACTTGGGAAAAGCTGACGCCAATCCTGCTATCATTTAGAGGCCCAATTTAAGAATGAATTGCCTTGGGCCTACCTGAGGAATATCTCCCAGACCCCAGGGCAATTGAGTGATGTGTCAACTTCTACCTTACAAAAAAACTCTTACTGCTTGTTATATCACTGAAAACTGTAATTGAGAAATGCCCATATACATTCTTGTGGAGGGCTGTTTATATGCTTTATTCTTAAAGTACAGTAAAGAGTAGAGAATGCTGAATTGGGGACATTTACAAAGCCTCAGAAAGGACAGAAACAAGCTGTATACTGGCTCAGTGAATATCAATTGTACTTAATCCTTAATGACAGCTACTATCACTAGCTGTCATACAGCAATTAGCCTAATCCTTAAAGATAAGAAAAACTAAAGCACAGAGAGGTTAACTTGCAAAGGTCACAAGAACAGTGGGTGGCAGGGGCAGGATCTGAGCTCAAGTCTTTTTTATTCTAAAGTATGTTCATAACTTCTCAAGTGTTTAAATGCTGTACCCCAATATCCTTGTATACCAAGCAGTTTGTGTGTTTTTTTATTTAGGTCATGTTGCCACATTGGGATTTTGGTAACAAATATATTTTGGAATTGTCTTTGTTCTCATTATGCTTAATTCTGTTTTAACATCTTCATTAGATACTGTTCTAGGACAGCAGTGGGTTCCTGAAGTACAGGACTCTCTAGGGAAAGCTGATAGTCATCAACTTCAAGGAAACCTTGGGAACACTGTGATATCAAACTTGGGTTTTGCTAGTCTCAAAGATGAAAACAGACAGGATTTACACTCCCTCCTCTAAGCAAAACAACTAACATACCCCTAACTAACCTTTACTGTGAGCTTACCAGGTGCCAGGCATTGGGTAAAATACAAACATGATCTTCCTTAATACCACTATCCTATGAGGTAAGTACTATTAACATACCCATTTTATAGGTGAAGAAACTGAGACTTAGAGTAACTTAGTTTAACACAGCTAGTAATTGGTAGAGCTGGGTGTGACTTGGGCTCAAATTTTTATTGTACCACACACTGGCTTTATGTCCTCTGGCATAGCTTCTCTGAGTCTTAATTTCTTTGTAAAATGGGTATAATAACTAGCTCATAAGGCTATTGCAGGTTAAAGAGCTAATGCTCAATAAACAATGGCTATTATTGTGATCTTGAGTTAATTTTAGGGCTGCTTACAGCTGTCTGCGTGTACTGAGGTTTGTGAAAAAGTTTTAGGCTCAGGGGTAAGAAGCTAATCCTATGTTCTTATTTCCTCTTACTTATGCAGGCCCCCGGCACATACAGACCCTGGACTTTCCTTTGAAACCAAACCAGGTAGCCTACCAACTAGTCAGAGCCACTGTGGTTTACCGCCATCAACTCCACCTAGCTGGCTTCCACCTCTCCTGCCATGTGGAACCCTGGGTCCAGAAAAGCCCTACCAACAGCTTTCCTTCCTCAGGAAGAGGTTCCTCAAAACCTTCCCTACTATCTGAAGCTTGGACAGAGATGGATACCACACAACACGTTCAGCAAAGACTCTGGAATCACAAGAGGCGCCGGATTCTACGACTGGGCTTCATGTGTCCGCATCAAAAAGGTAGTGAGGGTCATGAGCTCCTGTGGCGGGCACTTCACCTTTGGACACTGCCTTCTTGTTACTCTATTTCAATGACACTCATAAAAGTGTTCAGAAGGCCAAACTTCTACCCAGAGGCCTGGAGGAATTTATGGAAAGGGACTCTTCTCTTCTCTTGCGGAGGGCACGGCAAGCAGGCAGTGTCGCATCTAAGATTCCTGGCCCCTCCCAGGAACATGATGGGCCTGAAGGTAGCCAGTGTTCCCTCCACCATTTCCAAGTTAGTTTCCATCAGCGGGGCTGGGATCACTGGATCATTGCTCCCAATCTCTATACCCCAAACTACTGTAAGGGTGCCTGCCCTCGGGTACTACACTATGGTCTCAATTCTCCCAATCACGCCATCATCCAGAACCTTGTCAATGAGCTGGTGAACCAGAGTGTCCCTCAGCCCTCACGTGTCCCTTATAAGTGTGCTCCCATTAGCATCCTTATGGCTGAGGCTAATGGGAATATCTTGTACAAGGAGTATGAGGATATGATTGCCCAGGCCTGCACATGTAGGTGATAGCACAGATACAGGTAGCTCAAGTTTCCCAAGAAATTGGAGTAGGGTTTAAAATAAAGAGACAAATGTCAATGTTAAAGCTGCAGTGATCCTATAGCTAATCTATGGGTTCTATTCCTTGCCTTAAGTGTTGTTACTTCAGTCTCCTTCCCTGTTTATAATCTCACATTATAAATACAGTTCTGATACCAAACATCAGTATGTTTTGACCACTAGTCAGAGCCCTTAATGCTTGAGTAAGATGTTCCTTTAGATATGTCCTCTCTATTTTCTTGTCTTTTCATGGTGACTTTGTTAAAAAGGTCACCAGTCCATTATGGGTACAATTTTGGGCATTGTCCCACCAAGACATGGGAAAGGTGGCATCTTCCTAGTGTACATCTTCTGAGGCTCTCTAGAAGATTTGGGCCTCCTATATTCTAGAAACTAGTAACTAATCAGAAAGACTGCCTGCCTCTGTGCTTGGATTGCCATCTAAATCTAAACTAATTTTTCCCAGATATATTAGAAAACTTGTAGGCAATAACCTCCACAAAAATCTTTTAAGGGAAACAGAGGAAGGGCTTTTCCTAGATTATCAGGGCTTTTTCTCTCAGCCTCTGGACCTGGGAAAAGTATCTGAGTTTCCTTCCTGTCCTTGGATGAGGAGAACAGCCTTCAATAAGACCACTGGGGAAATATGGAGCTGTCTGAGACAAAATCATTTCAAAACTACCCACATCTATAGTGAAGAGAAAGAGGGAAAGAGCTGTCATTGCTCTTTAGGATTATGTATAGGGGAGTCATTTTAACCTTTCTAGGGAAGACTAGATTTCACAGGTTATTGTCTTTATGTAACACTTAAACCCCTATTAATAACTCCATATAGAAAGCTCTCTGGTGTCTGAGGCTAGGAATTGGCCTAATTGTGGGGGTAGAGACTGCAGTTAGGAAGATTAAAGGTCTGTGGGGAAAGGATGCATCATGTTGAGGCCTGGGTCTGACTTCATTCTGGGCTTGCCTGTTTGTGCAAGTTCAGTTTGCCTCTGGGCATGGGTCTCTGGGGGAGATGGGCTTGCTGCCTTGGGAGGCATGGAGCTCTACCTTGGACTAAAGGATGCTTGCAGTGTAACTCTTTTCTACTCCTGTGCTGTATTGAAGTGATGGGAACTGGGCTGTTACAAATAAATAATTTTGTTGTTAAAGAGACTTCTTGAATGTTTTGGGGATTGGAGGAGACTGGGCAGAAGGAATTTATTTCCTTTAGCTATGACCAGAAGCTGAACTCTAATCCCCAAGGGTGGGGCTAGAGGCTCCTCTGAAGTTTTGCTCTCTTAAGGCAGTCCTGGATCCCCAAGGGGCCCCCTTGAATAAGCCTAATAAGGCCTTTTCCCTGCCCAACTGTTTCTTGCCTAGTCTTATGGCCAGTCTCAGTGGGATGGGACTGATTTAGGATGGGTGCATGTATTTGCCAAATATAAATCCTTCTTTCTTACCTATCCATTGTAAATTAACTCATCTCATGACTCCCATCTCAATAATTGGAGATATTCAGCTAGACTGAATATCTATGTGCATTTACGTTTATAAATACACACATTTTACTCTTTTACCTGAGGAGCTGTTCCATAATATCCTTTCGTCCATCTACCTTCCATACAGTATCTTTGGGGATCAGTTCGGACATTTCTCTACACCTCCTCCCCCCATGACATCCCAGACTCAGGCATGTGTCCTATACTCTGTGCTCAGATAACACTATTTGCTTTCCTTTAACACACTACAGTATAACTTTTTTGCCAAAAGATGGAGCTCCCTTTGAGAAGTTCATCTGTGTTTTACCCATTTCTATATTAGTGGAGCCTGGCACATAGCATGTCCTTGATGGATATAAACATAGGTTCAAACATAGAACAGTGACAGTTTTTTGGATGCGTGAAGGATGTACTCTTCCTGACATGAAATATTTCAATTAGTTTTCTATTGGGATAAATGTAATATATATTTTGTATATAAAGGAACATTATTAATTTTTGCCCCACTTCAAAATCATGATTCAAATTACAATAGAATGTGACAGCTGTGTTCTTGAGTAAGGCAGTTTGTGCAATCATATATGTGGCAAGTTGACATGAGACAGTAAATGTGAGCTTCTAATCTAGCCATTTCCCCGGCCTACCTGTGGTAGGCACAACTACATAACAGGCCTGAAGACAGACTTTCGTCACAGGACCAGATTCGGAGTTCAGCATCTCAGTGTTCTTAGGGATTTTCAGAAAGTCATGATCTCCAAGGCTTGTGAGTCCTAAATACATCTGAAACTTTATTTATGTAGAGCTCAAAGTTAATTGGCCCCATTATCCAGTAAGCCTTGAGTTGTCAGAATATCCAAAGAAAACACTGGCAGAATGGGGTCAGTTGTAGATGATGTTAGGAATTCTCCTTTCTTTTGAAATATTGCTTTCAGCTCAGCACTTTTCCTCAAGTCTGAAGTAAGAGATCTATACCTCAAATCTTCTTCTGGGAGGAAGGAGCTATGCTTGCTAGTGGAGGAGGTTGTGTGGATAAGAATCTGTTTGCCAGCACAGGAGTCGAAGAATCTGTGGGTGAGGAAAAATGATTATTTGGTCTAGAAAGGAAAGGCAGAGAGCAAAGTCCACCTTGTCCTAGCTTTTTTAGTGAATGGGCCAGAACTTTATTCAATGTATGGGCACAAAAGGAGCAGGCATTTAAAGTTGCTTCTGACCCTGGAGCTCTGTCGCATTTACTGTGGTAGTATATTACATTCAATTCTGAGCAAAGTTGGGAAGCAGGTAAAATTTATTTTCAGTTCCACCAAATACTTGGGTGCCTAATTTGGTAACAAAAGGTTTCACAACTCTTCAGTTAATTTTCCCAATAGCACTATGAAGCAGAAGGTATTAGCCCATTTTTTAAAATAATTGATTTATTGAGATCTAATTTGCATACCATAAAAGCCACAATTTTAGGTGTTCAATTCAGTGATTTTTAGTGCATTCACATAGTTGTGCAAAAATCACTAAACTCAATTTTACCACAAAAGAAATCCTATGCTCATTAGCATTTAATTTCCATTTCATCATTCCAGCCCCAGTCCCTGGCAACCTCTAATCTACTTTCTTTTTCTATAGTTTATGAATATTTATTTATATAAGTTGAGTCATATGATATTTGGCTTTTTGTGACTGTCTTCTTCAACTTAGCATAATGCTTTCAAGGTTCATCTATGTTGTTCATTCCTTTTATTGCTAAATAAAATTCATTTGTAGAATAGGCCACATTTTACTTATCCATTCATCACTTTATGGGCATTTGAGTTGTTTCTACTTTTTGGCTATTATGAATAATGTTGTCATGGATGTTCATGTGAAAGTTTTTATGTGAATTATATTTTCTTTTTTTTTTTCATCTTATATATATACCTAGGAGTAATGGTGCTAAATCATATGGGAACTATGTTTAACATTTTGAGAAGCTACTAAATTGTTTTCCAAAGAGGCTGCACTATATTGGAATCCAGGAATGTGAGTGAAGATTCCAATTTTTCCACATCCTCACCAACACTTGTTGTTGTCTCTTTTTTATTTTAATCATATTAGTGGAGGTGAGGTGATATTTCATTGTGGTTTTGGTTGCTTTCCCATAATGACTAAAGACTAACAACTAATGATATTGAACACCTTTTCATGTCTTAATTTGCAACTCACACATCTTCTTTAGATAAATATCTATTCAAATCATTCACCAGTTCTTAACTGGGTTGTCTCTTATTGCTGATTTGTAAAAGTTCTTTATAGATTCTGGATGTTAGTCCCTTTATCAGATATATGATTTGCAAATATTTTCCCTGATTCTGTGGGTTGCCTTTTAACTTTCCAGATGGTATCCTTTGAAGCACAAAAGTTTTTAATTTGGCAGAAATGCAATTTATCTATTTTCATCTTTTGTTGCTTGTGCTTCTGGTGTTATCCAAAAAACAATGAATAATCCAAGGTCATGAGGATTTACATCTATGTCTTTTTCTAAGAGTTTTTAGAGTTTTATCTGTAACATTTAGGTGTTTAATTCATTTTACTTAATTTATGCATATGCTATGAGGAAAAGGTCTAACTTCATTCATTTTTACATAGATACCCATTTGTCACAGCACCATTTGTTGAAAAGACTAATCTTTCCCCATTTAATTGTTTTGGCACACTTGTCAAAAATTGACCCAAAATATAATGTTTTATTTCTAGACTGTCAATTTTGTTTCATTGATCCATAAATCTGTTTTTATGCCAGGATGACACTGCTTGATAACTGTAGCTTTGTGTAATTTATGTCATTGGGAAATGTGATTCCTCCAAATATTTTCTTCTTTCCCAAGATTTTTTAGGCTATTGTAGGCCTTTAAGTTTTCATATAAATTTTAGAATCACCTTTTCAATTTGTGAAAAAATACTACCTGTTTCCTTTTTATTAGGGACTGCATTCAATCTGTAGATAAGTTTAAGTAGTATTGCTATCTTCACATTATTAAGTCTTCTGATCTATAACATGAGATATCTTTCCATTTATTTAGGACTTATTTACTCAACCATGTTTTGTCATTTTGTAGTATATATCTTACATTTTAAATTTATTCCTAAGTTTTTTTATTCTTTTTGATGCTGTTATAAAATGATTTTTTCTAAATTTCATTAATTGCTAGTGTGTAGAAATACAAGTAATTTTTCCATGTTTAACTTTTGCCCTGCAACTTTGCTGAAATCATTTATTAGCTGTAATAGTTTGTGTGGATTCCTTGGGATTTTCTTCTTTCTTTTCAACTGAATACATTTTTTGGCTAATTATCCTGGCTAGAATCTCCAATATAATGTTGAATAGAAGTAGTGAGAGCAGACATCCTTGTGTTGTTCCCCATCTTAGGGGGAAAGAATTTAGTCTTAACATAAGTTTGATGTTAGCTGTGGTTTTTCATAGATGCCTGACTTCAATATTCACTTTTAAGCTACAGTAATCAACATAGTGTAGTATTGGTGAAAGAATAAACAAATAGGTTAATTGGATAGAATAGAGAGTCTCAAAATAGACCCACACAAATATAGTCAACTGATCT